AGTAAGCACTACATTAAGTTTGGGGATAAATAACTAAATCAAAGAAAACGTTGTTATTTTTGGAAATAGAATGCCCCCTCCAACTTCCATTATTGGCAATTTCTTCTGGCCTTAACGAAATATTCATTTTATTTCCACAAATGGTGACGTATACAGGAGCTACCCCCTACCCTGGTATTACGTCTGGACGAGAACTAATACGTGAGATCAGGTCAGGATACAGAATGGAGAAACCTCAACACTGTACACAGGAACTGTAAGTGTAGTAAAAGTGGATTGGTAATGTACAACTGTAGGTTAAATTCGAATTTACGGGCAGGGATAGTGCGAAATGATACGGAAAAAGAAATATTAAAAATGTATGTATGAATATGCACCTATTGTCTTGTACCGTAGGTGATATTTAACTGTCATTATTGCTGAACTAGCTTGTGCTACAAAATTATTTTGATAATATAATGCATATATAATTCAACCCACGAATATATGAACTATATGCGATTTTCCCTCGTCATTTCTCTTCTGGGGCAGAACATATGTCTGACCGGATAAACGGTATTAGAAAGTTTCTTTAAAACCCGATTGCCGAAAATGAAAACTGAAAAAATAATGATATTAATGGCCGTCTATGATGCGTAAGGCTGATATTATACTTACATGTTTAGGTACAATATGATGATGTTGTGTTGGGAGGAGGAACCGACAGAACGCCCGACGTTCGACAATCTTGTCACCAGTCTAAGAGACATGGCTAATGAAGAGATGATAGTTCACGTGGACGTAGACAGAGCTGCTGAGGCCGTATACTGTGATATTGACAGCCGGCTGGTTGGGGAGATCGTTTAATGTCAATATGTTGAAATACGGCATTAGATGCCTGTTAGTTAAATTCGACAAAAACATTTAATTATTATTTCCCTATTGCGATCTGTTAGATAAATAAGTAGGAAAGGTGTTATAAAAGAGGGTTTGATGCAAAAGATGTTTTGACTAAATTACATTTGCCATGCCTGTATAACCCATTTCGTGTGGCGTCCGTCCAAACGGAAGATACATGTAGCAGTGCGAATGCAATCGAATGGATTCATGGCCTCCGTAGATTCTATGGTTTTTTAAACTAAATATTCGACATTTTTTAATCGAATTGGGCTGTGGAAATATCGACGAAGGCATTGCCCAGTCCCAGTACTTGCATCTACATGATGGCTGAACCTGCAGCCTTTTCGAGAAACGGTGAATCACGGACACGTTGTTTTTTCTATAGCCATTGCTTTTCATTCCAGCAATTTGCATAATCACGAAGTCCACTGAATTGTTAACATCAAAATAAGACACTGATAGATTCTGTACCACGTACACTATGTTTTATACGCCACAAGTAGGATATAAATCACATGGATAACGGTAAACATCACAAAGCGAATATGAAAATTGAATGTTTTCGCTGATATTAATAACTTGAATCGGTGGATTTTGACAACGATTATACATGTGTCTATGCAAATGACGTGAGTTTAGTATTTACTGTTATCTGCATTTTATCAAGTGCATATTTACGCTACCAAAAATAGTATCATAAATCTGTGCTCTTCATATTGCTGTGATATTTTCACACGATCGTTTTTGCTACGTCTTAATCTATAAATAATTTTTCTTATTTTGATAGTGCGTAGAGTCCACTTTGGGATATCAGTACACTTTCATGTAGTTTTAGATACATTACATGCAGCTCGACATGATACTAGTAGATTGTTCACTATACATTTTTTCGGCTTACAATTCTTTTGATCAGTAAGTGTCTGTATATCTATATACTGTAACAGAATGGCGAGACCAGGAAATAAACCGGGGACGTGCACGTTTACCTAAATAAGAGCTAGGCATTTTTTTAATCTCAATGTCCAGCAAACCATAGTTTGGTCTTCAGCTATTGTTTTTGGCGAGAAGGTTTCTTTGTACATGTGAACCCCCACCTTTACACATGAATAATTTACCCATCTTTACCCATTTTTAAGCAATATTATATTTTAATTTTTTTGTAAGAATACGTTTTACGAATAATTGTACTTAGTTCATAGTTTTAATTTTCACCTCTTACCCATTTTTCCCTTCAACATTTTTTCTATTATCATTTTCCTTCTATTCATCTTATGACCATACCGCTGTTGGAGAGAGCTACCTGCTTTTCGCCCATTGTTCAAAGAGTTATGTCTGTAAATTTATTTTGTATTTGTTCATTTGTATACATGTATTTTATCTTTAAATTTTCCTTTTGTACCTTCGTAAATTAATTTTTTTCAATAAAATATATCTACCTTTTATGCAAGCCTTCTGATCGTAATGATACATTGGCATTATTAACAAGTGATATCAAAAATTGCATGAAACGATCGGGAAAAATACTTCTTAGAGCTTTGCGCATTCTATAACTCATAACAATCGTAAACAGAAAGGCGAGAAAAAAACGTGTAGTCCAAAGGTTATAGGTACATAAAGCAACTTTCAGACAGCCAACTTACTTTAGTTTGCAACTTCAAATATTACCGACTCACTTAAAACTCGGTGTTCAATATGCTATTTGCAGGTACATATTATTATCAAACTATTAACAGCCCCACTCTACCTGTATTTGTTTCCCCAGGTCATTCAAACACACTGGGAGCTTAATCCACTTCAGCAACCAATGAAAACGCGTCTTCGTCACTTGTCGCGTGCCCCTTATGAATAGAAGAGTCACGAGGTCACATTCCACACTCTATGACCTTTTTGTACTATCATCGAATAAATTTTCACCAGTATCGGCTGCGGTAGAGAAGCCTGGATTTGAGGCGTTGAGACAAACACACTAGAAGGCACCGTGGTCTACATTTATGACATTCGCCAGTATTCTTCTTAAAAATAATAATAATAATAATAATAATAATAATAATAATAATAATATGCGAGTTGGAGTCTAACTGCTAGAAAAGTTGCCTTTGTTAATATGAAGGAAATCAAGTCTGTAGATGTTTGAAAAAAAGCGTGATAATCTTATCAGTTTAATTCAATTGAGAATGACAACGACAAAATGTATTTCAAGTCAAGGTATCCATGCAGTATAACACCACACGTATACCCCACATATGAAAACATGCTAGACCCTTGAGCTGGTATGTTCAACGAAAAATATGGACTAACTATTGAACGCGCAATGCGCAATATGTAGGCCTACCTTACTGACTTTTTAAAAGAATCAAGTGCCTATAAAAACTGTTGCTCATAACAATATAACACACATTCTCTATTCCCGCCATTGAATATCGTCCGTCAAGTGATTTTTATTTAGCTCCTGAGACGACATTCAACGGTTTTCAAGTCGCACATTTGAATGTTCAATGAAAATGTTGGCAGCTATTCAATGGTTTTGTGCTCATAGTTTTGGGGTTTTAACGTACAATTTGATCTTTGGCAACCCCCATAATAGTTGACAATGTACCTATTCCAGTAAGCTGAGCAGAATTCTTTTTTCTTCAAACAATTATCGATTTTTCTTCCTAAAGCGGGCTATATGCTATTCTGCATTTATTATGTTTTATACTGCTGATAAAGCTGGGGTCACCTTTAAGGTGAATGTTGTTGTCGTTGTTATGGGAGAAAAAAGGAATTGGTTTGCTTTCGGAATTAATAAAATATATGGCTACAGATTACTAACTCTAGATGGAAAAATCAATATTCCTGTGTTGTGTGGATGGCATACTGTTATTACCCGCCACCCGTATGTTATCAAATGTAGGCCACCGTTGATGTTTGTGTCTATGTTATCGAATTTAGGTCAACACTGATGTCTGTGTCCTTATATAAACATACAGAGCAGCAACATGATATCGATATGTTCTTCTTGGAAGGTGACCCAGTTTGATAAAAGCTGCAGCTGTGCACCTTGTGGTATCATTGATCAAACACGTAACATGACGTACTGAGAGTCATACATTGAGATCACCTCAGGTGTTCGCTTGTGATAAAAGGCAACGAGGAGGCGCCATTTTAATCTTCATGATAAATTTTGAATTTTTGTTTTTGTCAACTGTAGACGTCCAATTTTTAAAAAGAATATATATAATCTTCATTTATGTACATAATGGTCTTGATGTGATAAAGGAGACTGACAAAAATAAACTAATTCATATTTCTAGAAAAAAATGACTTAATTTTGACGTACACGGCTATTCATAGGCTACCGAAAAAAAGAAATGGGGGGGATGTCTTTCTGCAAATAACTTTAACCTTGCGATGCTTTGCTGTATTTCAATAAGTTGTGACAATATGAGAAACACACACACGTTAATATGACAAATCATTTATTTGACATTAAGCTATTCAATACAAAAAACTATAAGCATAGAAAATTCGGCCAGGTAGAAAACAACATCAACTTGTTTCTTTAATGTATTTTATAAGGCACAGCTGATTGTAATTTAAATAATCTTAAAATCTTAAAATTAATGACACTAAATTAAGGTAAATTTAATTATTTTAGTGATTCTAAAAAAATTACCCTAGGAGCGGGTGAGGAGGCGGGGGAGGGGCGGGCAGAAGACTCACCCACATACCCCTATACCACCCCACCTGCGTAAATACAAATAATCCAAACCGGTCCTACTTGGCACTTATAAAATGCATACCAATCCATTCTGTTGACAGTCAGCTCCGCACAGAATACATATATAATACCTTAGTTAAAAACTTTCGAGCACCTCTGTAGCCTTCGTCCGGGAAGTAAATATCAGTAAAATTACTCACTCGATAAAGGCGTTCTTGGCAAACAACCAAGCGAATTGAATGTAGGCTTTGATTTTTCAGCAACGACTTAACCCCCTTTACACT